GAATGAAGCAAGAGTAGCTTTATTAGCCATAGAGATTTATATTTGCTAAGTGAATTTATTTTAGAACTAGAATATTGTCATTATGTGCTTAGTATTTCCATGAACATAATTTTGATGTCTAAGTTAGATACAAAGAGATTTTTGTTTAAATGAAATTGGTTATGGAATGATGTATTTAATCAATGCTTCATATGTTCTATAGTTGGAAAAACCTAGTTTATAGATTGATAACATGAAACAAAATTTCAAGGACTCAAACAAACCTACCTATAGCATTGTAGACTTGACCATGTAAAGGGGAAGTGATTGGCAAAGGATTAAGAAGGGTAACTTAGAGTCATTTAACTTAGCACAACTTAAGACATCTCTTGCTTGTTTGGAAGGAAAAATGGCAAATTTAAGAACATTATATATGTAACTAAAAATAATAATGATAAAATAATTGGGAAGAGAAAGAACAGTAGGGAAGAAAAGATGATGAAAAGACAAAATAAAAAGAACATTTATTACAATTTAACGTAAAAGTAATATATTTTTATTTGTAAATGAAATTTCTTATAAAATTATTTTAAAAAATTGGCAAATTTAGTGCCTATTTAATGCACGAGGGCAACATTTTATATGATATATAGAAGCATGATTTTTATTAGTTTTGAGATTGTGGTGGGATTAAAAACTTGTTTTTACCTAAATTGTATCATTAAATTTTGCTCTATTTCAAGTTGGATTATTTGGTTAAGCATGCCTATTTAATGAAAATAAACTTGATACATCTTACCTAAATGTGATATATTTGTTTTCTTGAAATAAGCATATGTTTGCTTGATATATACTTATTGGCCTACTTTAGTCTTCAATGTTGTCATGTTTTGCTCATTGCCTATTAATGGGAGTTTTATAAACATCGACACATGTCAATATTTTACTTGTAAAATCGGCTCATTCTTATTATTCTTATTATCCTGTTAGTAGAATTATACTTGGTTATAAGCCTCATGCAACTATTAGGCCCACCCATAAATATATGGTGTTTGGATTCACAAGTCAAAGCTCACCACTGACCTAATAATTATTTTGGCCAAGATCAAAAGGCACTCAAATGCTTAAATTCAAGTTATTAATATTGATTGATCATGATAATTATACATCAATCACAGTCATACTTCCATCCTGATGTGGGATTCAAGATGTGGTATAGCTTTTGGAAAAAATACTAAAGTGGTATAGCTTTTGGAAAAAATACTAAGGTTTGGTGAGCATCTTTCTTTTCTTTTCTTTTTTTTCCGAACTATTCTAAAATTCAAATGAATTGTTTGTTAGGTTCTCTTTGTATATTGATGATGATTTAAAACCATAATTTAAAGAGTTTAATCTATTTTGTGCTAAGTGTGCCGAAAAACTAATTTAAGGATTCTAATCTTTCCCTATAATTAGAATTAGATCAATTAGATCATGTCCTCCTTGCCCAAAGTGTTGGGTTTAAATCAATTCCAATTGGTTTGAACCAATCACGTAATTTATACTTAGTTTTTTCCAAAACAAATCAAACCAATATTTTTGGCTTCAAAGTAAAAATTTTAAAACGTAAACATTTAACAGTTCAATTATCTGTTTTGTCTTAATGGGCATTAGAAGGATCCAAATGACTAAACCACTTTCTAGGACAAGTTAAAGTCTCCTATAAGAAGCAGAAAAATGATAGAATTTGATTGGAGCAATTGTGAGCAGGCTTTGAAGGGTAAAATAAAGTTTAATTGCAAGATCTCCCAACCAACCATTAAATGCATCAAAAATTAGATCTAAAAGGTTTTCCCCAACAAACTTCTCAATAGATAGAAGAAAAATAGAGATTGAATAATTGAAAATCAATTCTAAATCTTCTTCTTCTTCTTGTGAGCTCTTTTGGTTACTTTTTTTTACTTATAAGGGCATTGTATTCTTCTTGGATTGGGATAATCCTTGAAGGGGTTGTATGAGTTGTTGAGATTCACTTGTGAGGGTTTAATCTTGCACTCTCGAGTAAGAGTTTATTCTAGTTTAAGCTTGCACCTACAAGCAAGAGAATCCTAGTGGATTAAACTCTTGAACAAGGAGGCTTGGGAAGTAGACATACTCTGGGTTGGAAGAACCACTATAAATCACGACTTGATATTATCTTCCCTTTCCGTTTACTTTTTGGACACTTTATTTGCAAGATTGCAATTATTGTTTGTTATTTTGCAAAAAAGTTTATAAATTGGAAATTTGATTCAAATTTTTGATGAGCTAATTCCATTTTAGCAAGTGTACTAGTCAGTTTAAGTAATATAATAATGAAAATAGAGTATCATCTCACTGAGACTGTAGACTAACTAAATACCAAAATTAACTAATTCTAATTTTATTTGAACAATTGAAATTAAATGATTTAAATAAACTAAATAACTAAACTAATTTAAAAAAAAAACTAAATTGACTTTAAGAATACCAAGAATTAAAATTCTAAGACATCCGATTTCACCATAATCAATTAATATAGAATTTAAATTAATATACTTCCAAGATATTTATTATTTATGTGACAGCAAGATTTCCTATCCTATTTGATATACTTTCTCAAGTTATACCAAACCTATCTTCACTTGTTAATCCACTATATCTCAATATGAATTTAAACAGATAAAGATGCATTACATTTTGTGAAATTCCTTAGTTTACGTAGAAAATTAAATCCACTTATCATTAATGCTGCATGAATCACGTTGGTCCATCTCTGGTTTCATTCAATTCATGGTATATATTACTAAAACTATTGTATAAAATCTTATCTCGGTCTCAATTATGCTCTCCAAATCAGTTTTAATGATGGCCAATCATTAAAAAACATTAAAAATAATAATATATATTTTACATGAAATAATAAACTTTGAAAGTATAAAAATCATAAAACTCTACATTAAATTAATCAAGCAACATCATAGCCTTAGATAGGTAAATCAGTTCATAATTAAAGAAAAGAAATCAATAATCTCATGATGAATATACGAATATCCAACATCATAAAATAAAATTTAAGGATAAGCAAAACCAATTTGACGATATAAAATTTTAAATCTTGATCTCCTTTTGTTATTGAATTCCTCTTAGCTGTCTCTCTTGGTCTCTTCTCCAAAGCTCTCAAATTGATTTTTGAATAGGTATTTATAGAGTTTAAGAAACCCTATTAGAAAAGAAGTAGGCTTTGAAACAAAATAGGAAACTTGAATTTTGGACACTGAACGCATAGTATTGACACCCTGAATTATGTGTCGGCACAGAATAGGAAACAAAAACTCTAATTCTGGTCACTTGACACATGGTATCGACACCCTGATTAGTGTTGACACCACACCTGTGTCGGGTTTCTGGTCTCTTTTTGCAATTTCTTCAATGGTCAAATTATAGATCTAGTTCTCCAGATTTTGAACAATGAGAATTCAGATCTCGAAACTTAAGATTGATTCATTGAGGTCCCCAAAGAAGCACCTTTCTTCTTGCAGTTTAGTCCTTCAACTTTCAGAAGATGTTCAATTAATTCCAAAAACTCTTATTATTATGCATTCAAATCCTTTTTTGCACAAAGAATGAAACCCATATAAAATCTCATAAAATTCATCCAAATATTAATAATATCAATGCAAAAATTTCACATTAATATGTATATAAATTCAGCTCATCAATTTAAAAGAAAAAGAAACAATTTTTGAAGTAGATTGATAAGACCAATTCACCCCCCCCTCTTAGGTAGCCAACTAGGATTACATTATCCATCATTAAATATTTATCTTTTAATCATTTATGGATTTTATAATGAAGAAATATCATTTTATCACAATGCTTCAAGGATGCTTCTTTTTTTTTTTTTTTTTTTTTTAAGAATATTTTATTTCTTTAAGGAATGTTTTATTCCCTTCCCTTCTACATTTGAATCCCCAAGATTCATTATAGTCTAATGAATTTTTATATAAAGAGTTTATAACAAATATTTGGATCTAAATTTATGAACAATGATGAACTTTGAATCTTATGACATTTGCTAATAATATATAAACTCTGCAATTATTACTAACACCAATGAAAATAAACATATTCAAATTAAAAACTAAAAATGAAAAACAAAGTTTTATGTAAAAGTTTTAGGAGATGTTTAGATTAAAAGTTCAAATAAAGTTGATAACTGATAACTGATAATTAATAGTTGTCAGTTAATAATTATTATTATTATTTATAATTTAGAATTATAATTTAAAATATTTAATGCATTCAATTAAAGCCAACACTTGATAATTGTTTTTAAAACCATAATCCAAACTCCCTCTTGGTTTAAAATCTTACCTCAATTTTGATCATTACCACATATGGGATCTTACAAACAAATCATATGGAGACAATTGTGTTGATGTTGTATTGTAAAATAAAGAAAGAAACAAATAAAAGAAAAAGCATGAAATAGATAGACAAAGGGAGATGGAGAACTCGAAGAGTTTTATTATTCTTCTCTCTTATCTTTCCCATGCAATGACAAGCTTTATATATAGTCTAGTAAAATGGTAGAAGTTATCAGAATTAACCACTACTAAATATAAATAAATCACCATTAGATATATGAAAGTAAAGGAATTAAGCATCATTATATTAAGCATATAAATGTAGAAAGAAAGGAGAATGTGAAAGATAAAGAAAGAGAAACATCCATAATAAATTTAGTTTTAACAAAATTTTAGTTATTTATTGAGTTTTGTTGGCAATGTCTTGAATTTTGTTTTATTTTTTTTTTCTTTTGTTTGGCGATCAATTGTTCTTAGTACACTTTGGCACATCTCAACTAAAAATTTCATAAAAAATTATTTCATTAGCTACCTAGTCTTCTAACCATACGCTGCTGGGTAACAGAATTCGGCTTTTTTTTTTTTCGGTAAAAATGTGTGATACTGTAGAAGTTTCTCAAGTAGTGGACCTTTTATGAGTTGTGAACAGTGGGTGCAGAATACAAGGAATTTGTTTCTCTCTCTAGAACTTTCCTTATCTCCTTGTTTCCTTTTTCCTCTCTATTCTTGGGTTCTCATTTCCCGGAACAGAGAAACAATATTTTGTTGCTGAATCCACCAATTAAGAGAGGAAATGGGCTCTGAAGGATCAAGAGTTGTTGGTGAGTTTCTATTAAAAATCCTTAATTTTTTCCTCAAATTTTCATTTATTTGTAAAGGTTTTGTTTTTATGCGACGATCGTGGCTAAATTGTTTTGCAATTCCTAAGAAGATGGAATTTTGTGGGTATATGGCATCTGGGTTCTTTCGGGATCGGTTTGATGATGTAGAAATTAGGGCTTTAAGTCTGATTCTTCGTGATTGTGGTCTTTTTATGTAATTTTTCGTGGAAATGCTTGGGAATTCAGTTTATGGTGTACGAAAGTCCTGCGTCGGGGAATGGTTTTAAATTATAGAGTAAATCAGGATGTGGGAAGCCAACTACCTTAGACTTTTGAAGTAGTCGCTAGTTTAATTTGATATTTGGACAATTTGCATTACAGTTTTTGTCCTTTGGTTCTGAATATCAACATAAATGGTTTTCTGCTTCTTCCTGATATTTGTGCTTAAGAATAAGTTTTTTTTCTTTTGATTGTGATATTGATTTAACTTGCCCCATAATTTTCATTCTCTAGCCTGAGGGTTGTTCCAGAAGAGCTGATATATGTTCTATACCACTTACTCAGGCACTCTGAATTTCATATGATTGAACTTTTTTTCTTGCTTATCTGCAGTGCCATTACGTTTCCTTATTTCTTGCACCAAGGCTGTTGATTGCTTTCATGGATTGTTATGGTTTTTCTTTTTTCTTTTTTCTTTTTTGGTAGTACACAGGGATTGTTATGGTTGCATTAACTTGAAATACATGCTCTAGAAATGATATCAATGAAGAAAACAACAATTTAATATATGCCCCTAGGACTTTGATCAGTATTATCAACCTTGCCATCTACAAGATGGTGGGTGGGCTTGGGTTGGATAAATCATGATACACCTGGGGGCTTTAAAAATGAATTGGTTGCTTTAGGTTTTCTTTGTCTTAACCTGGAGAAGTGAAGGACTTCTCCTTTATGGTGAGTGAAGTCCCAATCATTGATGATGCTTGTTGTGTAACAAGCATATCAAGTCTTTTTATTGATTGAGTGCAGCAAGAACTAGAAATGCCAATAGACTTATAAACTGACTGCTACTTGCTAAATATTTCATTGGATGCTTTTACTTGCAAAACAATGCCTGAAATGTGACTAGGGATTTCTTAAAAGCATTAGGAGTATATGAAAGTGGAATGATCCATTGCTATTTTTTGGTTATTTAATTCTCTTATTCTTGTCATGACCTCTGAGTTTAAGAAGTGCTATGTGAGACATTTAGAGGCTCAAATTGAATATATTCTAGGATGACAGTTGCTTAGCACTCTCCTTTGTACAATGTTCAACTCAATAGAACAATTGAAGCAAATAGGTCCATCGTGTAACAGTGATGAGATAACAAACAATCTGGGTTGGGCCTAGAACCATGTTAAGGCATTCAAGCTAAAATGAATAGATGAAAAAGGCCGAGCTTTATCAATGCCACAACAATAGATGCAGGATACTACTACTACTACATAACTTCCTCTTTGATTATCTTCTCTGGATTCAAGTAAACTATATATATATATATATATTGTTGGTTATCTGGTGGCATACGACAGTGGTTTTTTCTATTAGTAAAGAAAGTTTGTGTTCAGCTATTGCAGGGATTTGAACCCCTGATTCCCTGATTTTAATGCCAAAATCAAGGTTTTGAAGTTAGTGGATACCAACTTGGCATTCCACATGTTGAAGAGCAGTAGCCAATCTCTATGGTTAAACCCTCTTGAAGGTTGGATGATTTCCCTCCTTGGGATAAACAACTGATATATAACAAACATCTACTACCATGTTGACTTGTTAAGGTATCCCACCTAAAATCAACTGTGAATGGCTGGAAAGCCTCACTTGAATAATATTGTGCAACAATCCAAAAAAATCTGTGGGATAATTTTACTAGTTGACATTCCCTCAAACCATCTTCTGTGCATATCCTTTGTCTTCTTCTACCAGTTTCTAGTCATTTAAAAAAAAAATAAAAATAAAAAAACTTGGTTATTCCACTGCAACCCTTGCTTGTTGAGAAAAAGTGGCAATCTCTATGGTCAAGTCTTCTTGAGAGTGGGTTGGTGGCTGATGTACCACTGGTGATGCTGCACATATTTATAAATTTGAAACTAAATTCACCACACCTTTTAAGGGGGGAAAACTGAATGCATTTGTTATCTTTGATGAAATTGAGTTGCAAATGTAATTAATGGTGAACTTAAGACATAGTGGTTTGTCGTGTCTGTTGTTAGCACCAACCCAGCTATGTGGTGGTTCTGCTTGGTGTGTCTATACCTTGTTTTACTCACAAGTCACAACTTTTAAGAGCACAGTGATTACAGCTTTGTCATTTGAAAGTATGCTGTTTCTGCATTTAACTCTAAAGCTAAAGATATAGACAATAATTAGGGTGCCTTTTCATTTGTTGACTTGACTATTGATTCTTCCTGGATGTATCGGTAATGACATACTGACTTAAATATGTGATGTTTTTTGTAGTGCCCAGGAATTTCAGATTACTGGAAGAGCTTGAGAGAGGTGAAAAGGGAATTGGGGATGGGACTGTTAGCTATGGAATGGATGTTGCTGATGATATATATATGCAGTCATGGACAGGGACTATTATTGGCCCCCCTAATGTAAGTTTCTCCTTCCTTTTTCAATTTACTCATCACTTGTAGCTTGTGCATGAGTGGGCTCCATGGAATGCCCCCAAAAGGTGGCTCTGGGCCAAAATTTTGTGTAGGACTGTTTGTTTCCAAGCTGTTGATGTTAAGCTTGGGATGATTGGACTGTAATGCTGTAATGCTGAATACTTGTGCCGCCCAATCCAAACAGGAGGACCAGAACTTGAAGTATTATCATATTAGTAATGCCATGTCCCTTTAATCTCTAGTTCTCTTTGCTAAACAAAGAAAGTTTTCATTGTCAGACTGTTCACGAAGGACGTATCTATCAGTTGAAGTTGTTCTGTGGCAAGGATTACCCAGATAATCCACCAAGTGTTAGGTTCCAAACTCGGATAAACATGACTTGTGTCAATCCAGAAACTGGAGTGGTTGGTGATGTCATTCTCAGATACCATATGTTGTTTATTGCCTGTTAATATGTGGTTGATCCGATAAAATAAACTTATAGGTGGCTCCGTTGACAGGTTGAGCCTAGTCTATTCCCCATGCTTGCTAATTGGCAAAGAGAGTACACAATGGAGGATATATTAACTCAACTGAAGAAAGAAATGATGTCTCCCCAGAATCGGAAGCTCATTCAGCCTCCTGAAGGTATGTCTATTATGACTTTCCTGCTTTATACTTTGTTTTATGTTTCTAAGAACATCCTTCCTAGGTCCTCTGAAGGAGAAACTTTTAATGGAGAAGTTAGCAATTGAGATGAGAAGAAAAAATTAAAAAAAAAGAAAGAAAGAAGAGGTAGAGAAGCTGAAAGTGAATGTTAATATTCAATCCAACACTAATACTGTTGCCAAATCTAAAATTAAGGGAAGAAAAATCCATAGTTCTCTGATAGGTGTATGGTAGTACTATGCAATCCACTAATGATTTATTTCCAGGAAATGAAGAGGCAAGGACGGATCAAAAGAACATAGTGCTGAAGTGTTGTATTGTGTGAGCGTGAGCGTGAGCGGTCAGAGATGATTCAACCTGTTTATGTATATAAATATATATATGGTAGGTGCTGCCTCCAGCCGGTTTAGTTCAATCAATATTGTGATGCACGAGAAAGATATACTTGGTTCCACTAAACGGTGGCTAAATAAATCGAACTTCTTAAATCAGTTAATGACATTCGTAATTTTATGAATTGTGCTGAATCAATCTTGGTGAATCGTGTTTTCTCTTTTTCTTTTTTCTTTTTATTTTTATGCATTTTGAGATGTAACTGAGAACAACTTGAGTTGGAAGATTCACCATTTGAAATGATAATTTGCTTATCTTTGATTTGAGTTCCAAGATGTAAGTTATATGAGTATACAGTGCATTGATGTGAATTGTCAAACTTTTATTTAAGGCTTTATTTGATAATGATTTTCACGTATACTTTCCATATAACATTTTATCTAAAAATGTAAATTTATTTTATTAATTAAATTTAATTGATTTGTTTACTTATTTATTAATTTTAATTGATATTCTAAATATTTTTTGGATAATAAAAGTCAAAAAAATTTATACCAACAAATGCAGCATGATATGATATGGTACTCACAAATAAAGTCTATGTCCTCGAATGTCTCATTTTGCACCTTTACCTTTTGAGCTCGGAATTTGAGTTATGTGGAGATCACACCGCTACCATGGTAAGTATCACACACGGGTAATATAGATTTTTTATATTTTAGTCTCACTGTTTTTTTTTTTTTAATGAAATATGCCACAATTGTTGGGAATCATTAGAGACACGAAGTAATTGTTTAAACTATAAATTAAAAAATTATCAAATTATGTCATGTAATTTAAATTAGTAAGTGTAATTAAGTTACGTTAAATTTAATTTTAGTATAATCTGAAGTATGATATACCTTATTAATAGTTATTACTTGTTATGTTAGATTTGGATATTTGATAGTTATCTTTAATTATTTAATTTTATTTAAATTGTTGGAGATGGTAACTGTAATTAGGAACTGGTTCGTAGTCAAATTTAGCAACATCTTCTACTGATTTGTCCAATTAGACCAAACAGTTCTTATTACCAATTTTTCGTAGTTGAGTCGTCAATGGTTACAAATTATTTTTGGACATTCATTAGCTATAAATATTAGGATTCTGCACAATTGAAGGATGGTCTGCCCCTTTCATTACAACTCAACGCAATTACTTTCAACTTTCCTTAGCTTCTAAAGGTACAAGGTCAGCTCTCAAGCTCTCTACTTTTAAATTTTAGTTGTTGTTTATGAGATATGTCCCTTTGCTTTCATAAGCTCGCATTCTAAATCTCTAGTTCTACAAGTTGACAACACCTTTCAAATCTTAGTTTTGTTGTTGCAATTGAATATTATTTCTATAAATGATTTCATTTCAATCAATTCAATCTCATTACTTTAGTATTCAGAACTTTATATTACCTTCAAAATGCTTTATTTACATTTCTGCAAGTCAATTTTGCTAGTAGTAGATTACCTAGTTCTATTAGTTAATGTTGAGATCTATAGCTTTCTCTAACCTAGTTTGATTCTTAGTTCTGCCATGCATTCTAATTTTTTAACTTCTTTTCTTATTCTTGCATTATTTAATTAAGAAACTTTGTTATGACCTATTCATGGAGCTATATGAGGCAAATCTGTAACTCATTTTATAGGAAAATATCCATTCTTCTTGCAACATTATTTGATTTAAGGTGCATTTTTAACTCATAATTGATGTTCTTATAGCCATCCCACATAGAGGTTGTTCGCTTGGAAGAAGAGAGTTGTCAAGGTAGAAAACCCATCCTTCTTACTCAAAGCAAGTGGCACACATAAGGAGGATTTTTAAGGAAAATTGAGGATTTTTAAATTAAAATCTAATTTTAGTGAGAATTCTTTTTTGAGATTGAGCTAATCATTTATTGATTATAAATTTTTAATACTATTCTTTTATATGTGACAAAGTTATTTGTTAATTTTTTTTAATTTATTAATTTTTTTAATTTTTAAACTTTTGGGATTAAAATATAACCCTTTTAATCTTTAAGTCCTAACCTGGTAAATTTTTTATTCACTTTTATAAAAAGTTAACAATTTCGTCTATCGAAAAGTTACTTTTAAATTTTTAAGTTAAAAATTTGATGGGATAAGGTATAAAGTTAAAAATTTTTAAATTTAATAAGATAAAAGAGTAAACATATATTTTGACTTGAAGTGAGTTTAGAAGTTTGACAGAATCTATTGTGTATGTAGTCAAAGTTTAAATTTAATGAATAGTCTATTAATTATGTAATTTATTTTAATTTAATTTAGAAATAATTTATTTTTTCAAAATGAATTATAAATTATCAATTTTGTTTCAAAATGTTTTACTTGACAAACATTCTGTTAACTGGACTAAGACAAGTCGCCTCCTAAACTTTTAAAAAATATTAAATATAAT